GGGCTCGGCTCCCGCCGCCACAGGCGCCGCCTCCCGCCCGCAACATGGCCGCGGCCTCCCGCCCCGAGCAGCGCCCGTGGGGGGAGGCACGGCCCTCAGCTGCCCCCATAATCACCATGGCAACACCCCTATAATCACCATGGCAACCCCTCAGCACCACCATGGCAACTCCCCCCCCCATAATCACCATGGCAACCCTCCTCACAACCACCATGGGGGGGGGGGTCAGAGCAGGCCCGACTGCACGGAGGGGACTTGCCGCATCCCCTCACTCGTGGCGCGTGCCCTGCGCCCCAGAGAAGCGGCCGCCTGCCACACTTGATGCACAGGCCCCAGCTCATGTCCCTCCCTCGCACCAGCAGCGCGCACGTGTGAGCCAGCCCCCCGCCCACCTGCGTGTCGGCCGGAGGAGAAACGTGGATGCGTTACCCTGTCGGGGGGGACGGGAGAATTCGGTCGAAGGGATCGAGTGCAGGCGAGCGATACATGTGCGCACGCTGGGATGACACGTCGAGGCTGATATATTCGGAGATGATACAAGGGGGTTGCAAAACAGGAGGACGCACGCTCCTCGCCTGCCACGCACACGTGCGCACCCATGACGTTAGGTATTGGAAGAGCTGACTCGGAAAGCGAAGGGACTTGCTTAAAAAGCGGGCAAATTAGGCCTGGTGTGCGCCAGGGGTGGTTGCGCACTGGAAACCGAACCCCTGCCTCTCCAGTTTCATCCTCTTCTCGGACTGCCTGTATTGTCCTCAACAGGTGCATGGCTTTTGCAGCTCTACATTCAGATGACGAGTGACCAAATCTCACGCTTCAGGGCTTCACTCTCAGCTGCGAGGGGCAGGGAGGATTTCCTCCCCTCAACGGGGAGGGACCGCAGGAGATCATCGAACCCAAGCCCCTGCTCAAGGCCAGGCGTCCTCTGGCTCCCGGTGCTGCGGACAAGGTGAATCCCATACATAACATCACGTCGAGTCTCAAATATCGTGACAAGCCCGTGTGCCTCTCGCAGTGGTTTTGCTTTCCCGTGCGCTTGCTGTGCAGGCGGGTTAGGGATAGGCTTCTGGTACGTTGTTTTTATTGCAATGGGGTCACATGCGATGCAGCTTCTCACTGCACAGTGCTGAGGGCTCCTTGCACTCCTACCTACCCCACAATCTCTCTCGCCTTCTTTGTTCAACAACATCTGCCCCTCTCTCATGCCTTGGCCTCTCTACGTCCCCCATTCCCCTTCCCCTCCATGTTAAGTGCGTCCGTCCCCTTCTGATTTCTCCCATATCGGCTCCCCCAGTTCCCTCCGGGGTAGGTGCAGTCCCCCTTACCAAGTTTCTGCAGACCCTCCCCATCATGCCAGGGGTTGCATGCACACTTCTTTTCTTCATACCTGCTATCTTCTGTTGGCCACTCAGTCTTGGAGAGAAGTGATTTGTATTCACTACTATTGAGGCAGGGAGAGCAGAGATTAAATAGCTGCATTGATTATGGTAGAAAGTGTGGAGAGTTGCCATTATTTAGCTCTGTGTGCTATAGAGCTCTGCAAAAGTACTTGAAGTTGTGAGTACATTAACCTTATGGTAGGTGCTCCGCATATCCCACATTGTCCCACTTCCAATTTTCTGGCTTTCTTCCAAATCAATCTTTTTTGTTTTCCCCTTGCGGATGCTAAGATGTTCCCTGAAACTGCAGATTGAAGACACTGGATGGGACACAGTCAGGCAAATGCTGTCAGGTTGAGTGCAGGGTCATGCAAACACAGTCAAGTATTTCTGATTGTGGTTCTTGTTGCTACAGTGCCTAGACCTAATTAGGGATCAAGGCCCATTGGATGGTCTCTGACCCAAAGAATTTACGGAGAGCAGAATTAACAGTTTAACTTAACACTCGCAATGAGTTTCACTTACGTGAGGCTGTGCCTCATTGCTGAAGCTTTCACTTCAGTGAACTTCCCTGCACATGGACCCAACATCACTGCATTTCAACCACGTTTAATGGTTTAAGTCAAAACAATTAATCATACAGCAGGCCTGGTGAATAGAATCGTAGATTAGGAGGATACGAACGCTATGTTCTTTCAGACTTCCTGGAATACTGATTTTCCCATGTTCTTTAGTTTGCATAATTATGCCATATTTCCCTTCAGGATGATGCTAGATTTAAATACTGTTTTAGGGATTTTTTTTATTGTTTAATCATTAACTGATTTCTTCCTTGAATGCTGGACTGCATCATTGCTTCAATCTGGCAAACTTCAGGTGCTCCTCAGTAAGCAGTACCTAGCTTCGGGAGAAAAGGTCTGGATTATGCAGCATGCATAAGTGTATTAAAGAACTAGACATCGTAATTGAATAGAAACATTAATAATAAAAGAAGCACAGCTGCTTGGGCAGTTTTTGCATTGGCACTACTATATTGTTTTATGTTAGGTGCACATTTTCATCTTTGATCTGATGCAGATTTGTATATTTGTGAACAAGCAGTACCATATAAGAGGTCAGTGATTGGTAGCCGCATTTGCATGAATGATAACTTTAGCAACTGGGATTTTTAGAAAATGCACAGTGACAAAAAGAGCTGATTTAGGGGGTAGACTAAGATAATTTGCTTGATATTTCCATTACAGTGAAATAGATAACAATGTTGACATTTGGAGTGTCATCTCCTGCTTTTAGAGGCTAACCTGTGGTAATGATTTAGTTCACAAATCTCAGAGTCATTATTTGCACCTGCTACAGATGCAAGGGTCTTGTCTATGCTTGGAAAATGCATTACACTAAGCTTTAGCTTGACCAGATCAGCATGTTAATGACAGTCTTACTCCACTACACTTGACTTTCAAACTATGTTAGCATCTGCTGACATGACTCCTTCAAATCCTTATTTTAGTCAAGGGCACAATATTAAACACGGTATTGCTTTATGGACCTCGATTACTGTGTTTAATAAAAACATATTCATTAGCCCTGTCCTGGTTAGTCCCTTCCCCTGCTTGAGGCTGGAGGAAGTACAACCAGTGCAGCTTTCATCTGTCTTCATTCACCTTACAGTTTGCATCAAAAAAGCTAGTCAGCAGTAGCTAAAATCAGGCCTAATCTCTGTCATTATCAGTAAGACCACGGTTCATGTCTTCAAGGCAATATTTTACAGCCCTGAGAGTGAGCAGATCTTTTTATTTCTTAATAAAAACACAGATTATGGAACACAATTTTGTTGCAAGGGGAGGATCCTGTGTCCGTAAAACACACAGGCTTGCTCCACCATGTCATGCTTAATGTAAGTAGTAGAAACGTCCTTATAATGGGACATTTTAGTTAATGTTTGTGCACAGCTCTTAGATTAAGAACTTGAGGAGCTCTGCAGGAATGGCAGAACTCTTGGGGGTTATCCCAGTGAAAGGGGTAGGGGTAACTGGGCCAATTGTCTATGCTCAGCGCCTTCCCAGTAGAAAGAAAAGCACTGCTCTTGTGATAGGACCAGTGGTAGGGTCACTCGCAAACATCCTGTCCAGTTCCAAGCAGAAGGTGCAGCAGAAGGGTCATACATCAGATGTCACGTTGTTATTCTGAGCAGGTTGGCAGCCCTGGGCCTGCTCCTTTCCCTTTGAGAAGGAGACAGTTACAATCAGGTGTAAATTGTAAGTGACAGAGCTGTGGTGGTGGCAAGAGCCCCTGGCGTACACACAGTTATATCAGCAGAACTGCTTTTGCAAGCATGGCTCATTTCATTCCCCCAAGTGTTATAAGCTAAATCAAAAAGCATGCTTCTTCTAGACTAACAGCCTCCATTGGGGAAGCTATGTTGCTGGCACTATATTGGTGCCATTATACAGGTAATGTCCCATGTCCCCATATAGACAAAACCTTACAGCTATAAAGCTGTTTTGTCTGATCGTTGTGTTGACAATGGTGTGAGCTAGCCCAAGTTTTCCAGAAGGGGCAGGTTGGGGTGGGTAAATGGTTTTGCAGTTAACCCATTTACGTGAATCGTGCACTAGGCAGTTCTCACTGTTTGCAACCATTGTATCCAACCCCTTGCAGCTTATGGGAGATAAGGCTGCTCTGTACCTCATATGACCTCTGTGCTGAGAGTGGTCCACTGTTACAGCCAGAGTCTACCTGCATGAAGAGCTGCAACCCCTTGGGCCAACAGAAGTGCTATTTTTGAAATTAAATGCCCCTGTCTAGACACCCAGGGCAGTGCTTCATGCAGAGGCAGGGAAGAGCAGCTGTACCATCCTTGGAAAGGGTGCAACATTGCCTCTCCTCTTCTGTAAGGGATTATAACGAATTGTGAGGCAGCAGGGCAGGAGCATGGCCCTTGGGAGGTTAGCAGTAGCACAGAGCAGGGTTTGCATCTAGAACTGAGACTGTGCCTGGCTCCACATTCATACTCTTCCTTCCTCACACACACTTACGAGCCTGAGCACAACCTCACCCTCAATTCCTCTAGTTCATGCTCAGCAGAAAGACTGGGTCGATATGGAAGAGGTGAAAGAAGCTCTGACAGGCTCCTCAAATGCCTGCCTGTGCTGGGCAGTGGGCAGGGAATTCAGGTGCTGCTTGTGGTGCTTACTGATGAAGCTTTCTTATTAATAGCTGATATTAGCAATGCTCATTAACAAATAATGTCAAATCCAGCCTTTGTCACTGCATGTGGCACTTGCTGCCAGTTCATGTGACATTTCTCCTGAGTGAACAGAAGCGCTAAAGCCTTAGTCCACTGTTGCCCTTCTGGGTGAGTAATTTCTTTGTTCCTCCTGCCAAACAGCAGATTTCCAGATCCCGAGAGTTTCTGGTCC